AAAGCAAGTTGGGGAAGAAAGGGTTTATTTGGTTTATACTTCCACATTGCTGTTTATCACCAAAGGAAGTCAAGACAGGAACATAAACAGGGCAGGAACCTGGAGGTAGGAACTGATGCAGAGGCTGTGGAGGGGTGCTGCTTACTGGCTTCTCCTCCATGGCTTGCTCATCCTGCTGTCTTATAGAACCCAGGACCACCAGCCCAGGAGAGGCACCATGCATACTGGCTGGGCCCTCCCACATTAATCACTAATTGAGAAAATGCCTTACTTCTGGATCTCATGAAGGCGTTTTCTCAACTTAGGCTCCTTCATCTCTCACGACTCTAGCTTGTGTCAAGTTAACACACAAAACCAGCCAGTGTAACCCTCATAAACTTATGTATTTGAAGGCTTGATCCCCCATTAGTGGAACTATTTGGGAAGGATCGAAAGGGCTGGCCTTATTATGCTTATTTTTGTATAAGTTGCCTGGGTCATGGTGTGTCTTCACAGCAATAGAGCAGCAACTAAGACAGTCACCTAGATTTTGACAGAGACAACTCTTCAAGGGAGGAAAGCTTTATTTTGGTTCATGATTTTTATTGGTATTTTCCACCCATGATCTCTTAGCCCCATAAGCTTGGGCAGTGGGACCATCACAGCAGTGGGAGTTAGAGACAGAGGGTAGTCTGCATTTCTTGGCCGACAGAAAGCCCCGAAGATGCAGCAGGAAGGGGCCAGGGATAATACATTCCCAAGACTCCCAGTGACCTATCTCTTGTCAGCTACCTTCAACTTCCTGAATTGTCCATAACCTCCCAGAATAGAGCTGCCAGCTGGACCTCAAGTGTTCAACACAGGAGTCCACGAGGAACGTTTCATACCCAGTCTGTAGTAGAGTGAGAAATAGCATCATTCCAGGCTTCTCTGAGGGCAAGAGGCAGGCAGGTGTATATTCCTGGAAAGAGGCAGCCACAGCAGGAATAGTCCTTTGTCAAAATACCCAAGGGGGCTAATTGTTGCCTCTTCACTCCATTTCTCCTGTGTATGTTCATTAAAGAGAAGGCCTTAACGTTTCTACAATTCTCCCCCCCACTTCAGAGTCCCTGTGGCCTTCCGCCATATGCTGCAGAGAAGGAAAACAACTATGGAAACCTCACACACTCCATCAATCTCGTCCTTGGCTACCGCCAGGCCAGTTGTTAGTATCAGTAACTGCAGATGTGCTTACACAGGTGGGCATGGAACAACCCTTCAGTTCTGTAGCAAACAAATCACGGAAAGATGGCGGGAAGAACTTTGAATCTGCATTGGGGAGATTAGGGCTAGGGTGTGGGCTCTGTGGCTCAAGTGACACAGTATGGTCCTATTTTATTTTGAATTAGTATTGAATTGGCATCATGGTCTCTCCTAATGAGAGCAGCCTGAAAAGAAAATAGTTTTCCTAAACTTAATGAGAAACTATAATTTCAATAATTTGAGGCCTATTAAGTTATAAGCTGTGTTTATGCTATTTTATGTTATGTTATGAATATTTCCACCTCAGTAGGTGAACAGAAATTCCCACTGTCATGGGAATAGTCTTAAAAATGTGTAAATGTCAGCTATATATTTGAAAATCTTTTGGAATTCACCTTTTGCATAAAAGGCCATCTTCCTAGCTCAGGAAGCTCTCTCTCTGAGTCTTTCCCCCTCTCTCTCTCCTTCCCTCCTCTCCCCCTCCCTCTCCATCTCCCTCCTTCCTTACCTTCCTCCCTTATTTCTTTTCATTTTTTCACTGTAGAGAGCTGGGAGGTTAAAGCTCACCCATAGATTTTAAATGAGGTAATGGAGGTTCTAAAAAGTACCTTACTTACCTGAGGAAGTCTGAATGTGACATTCATCATGAATTTAAAAAGTTGGTTTATAGCCAGGCAGTGGTGGCGCACACCTTTAATCCCAGCACTTGGGAAGCTAAGGCTGGCGGATCTCTGGGTTCCAGGACAGCCAGGGCTATAGAGTGAAACCTGTCACAAACAAACAAACAAACAAACAAACAAACAAACAAACAAACTAGGTATGTACTCACCATCTGCGCATCTGTCTTCTCCTAGAAATTCATTTAGGAAATAGTAAGCATTGAGGCCATTTATACAGAAAAGGACCAGGTGAGATCCTACTTCATGGATGTGTGTAGCTGATTTTTGACTTATCGTTGAAGTAATGATGAGGGAGGGAGACAGTTATTTTAAAGATCCAACCAAGGAATTTGTTTTCTAACCTATTTTTTTTTTAAAAAGGTTCAGGCCACCTTCAGTAACACAGCCACGTTTTCATAATCTTTCTTTGTGTGTATGCGTGTGTGCTTGTGTTCACAAGTGCCATGTTTGAGAAAGCATGTGTGTGAGGTCAGAGGACAACTTCAATTGCCAGTCCTTGCCTTCCACCTTGATTGAGGCTCTCTTGTTTTGTATACACTAGGCTAGCAGCCCACATGCCTCCCGGGATGTTCCTGTCTCTGCCTCCCATCTTATTTTAGGTGCACCAGATTATAGATACCGGTTACCATGCCTGGCTTTCCATAGGCTCGAGGGATCCTAAGCCGGTTGTCAGGCTTTGGTCCATCGCATCACTGAGGCTAGACTTGGGACATATGAAGGATGATGTAGAGGGTTGATGAAAATGCGGGAAAAGATGTAGGATCTGACATCTCCACCTGGCCAGGTGACAGGAAGACAGATATAGAGAGGACAGCCATAACACCTGGAAGGCTCAAACAGGAGTTGTGTGTGAGCCCTGTTGGGTCTACATAGCAAGACCCTGTCTCAGAAAAACAACCATAACAACAACAACAAAAACCCAGTATTTTAAATATCTTTGCTATTCTTATACCTACATGAAAATGTGAAACAAGTGTTGCACATTTTGTTTTGTTGGAGTCTTTTAAACAACAGTTTTAGAACATCCAGAGCCTTTTTTTTTTTTTTTTTTGTGGAAAGAATTTTATCCTTACAGAGAGGTTTTTTTTTTCTCTCCTGCTGTTGTAGCTAGTTGTTTGAAAGGCACTGAAAGGTTCTAGTCATATCTTAACACCTTATGAGGTTGTGGAGATCATCTCCATTTTACAGACAAGGGGACTAAGGCCTAGATAGTTCATGCAACTTAGCCTAAGGTCACATGCTTAGCTAATAGCAAACAGTGGTCTTTTTCTTAAAAACCATTGTGTTTGGGAAACCTTTGCCAATATTTGAGTAGTCATTAGACCTTTCTGGAAGCAGCTACTAAGCCTGGAGAGCCAGTGAATTCCAGGGAGGGTCTTCCCGTCTGAATCTGGAGGCTTGGAAGAGTAAAGAAAGTGTCTTAATTCTCCTCATTTGTTCCTTTCCCCTGGCCTTCTCCCTTCTCTGCCCTACCTCTTATAGGACAACATTCATTCAGTTTTCCTGTTGGAAGTGTCTGGTGACTGTATGGCCCCATCTAGGTTATTCTAATATTTTGGAAAAATAACATATAGAACACTTGACATAGATGGCTCTACCCCATTACTCTGGAAGAGGCTGGATCTCTCTTGCCATTGATATATTCTGCAGAGACAAGTGCAATATCACCCCACATCCCAGATAATCTGAGTGCATTGAATGGCCATCTGGAATTAATGAATTGCTCATGGATTCTCATCTTGGTATCTCATTCATTGGGTATAGAGAGATCGTATTATTTTGAGAGGAATTTGCGATAGGCTTGTTACAGCTTAAAGATTATGGGAATTCGATCGTGGGTCCTAGATCTCCCATTTCCATGTGTGTCTGTGTATTGAAGCAGGGTTAGTTGTCATCTGGGTGTGTTTGTATCATCCCCTGCAGCTTAGTACTCAGAAAGGTTGAAAGGTTTTTACACCAGTGCTGGTGGCCTCATGGGCACTTCCAAGAGCTGGGGTCTGTGTGGTTGCTGGGTAAGCTAATGGCGATAGTTACAGAGGTGCCAGTGGAGAGAGATCAGGCAAACTTGGGACTGAAGTACGTGACATGAGTGTGTCTTAGTGTTAAGACTAGCTTAAAGTTATTTATTCGTACAGAAAAAATACATCTTTCTATTATTAAAAATTTGGGAAATCAAATGAACCCCAAATGTTGCAAAAATGACATATCACGGATAATTACTATTAAGATTTCATTTCAGCTCATCCCAACTGTTCGTGTCTGTGAGCCTTCATACATATTTTCTTCATAAAATGAGTATCTTATACATGTTATTAAATTTATAGCTATCTTTATGCTGTATTTCATAATGCCAATTAAAAACTGTTACATTGGGGTCGCAGAGATGGCTCAGCAGTTAAGAGCACTTGTTGCTTTTTGGGAGGATCCAGGCTTGGTTCCTAGCACCCACATGGGGATTCACAGCCACCTGTAATTCCAGTTATGGGCATCCAGCACCTCTTTTGGCCTCTGTCTGGGTGCCCAGCATGCACACGGTGCACGTGCGTGTGCGCATGCACACACACCCACACATGTACATACATGCATGTAGCAAAACACTCATAGAATACAGGAATCTTTAAAAAGGACATTTTATTAACTTCTTAACAGTCTATGTCTCTGTGTAAGTATGCACACTTGAGTGCAGATGCCTGTGGAACCTAGAAGGGTCAAATCCTTCTGGACCTGGAGTTACAGACAGTTGCGAGCTGCCAGTATGGGTGCTAGGAACCGAGCTCATGTCACCTGCAAGAATAACATGCATTCTTGACTGTTGAACCATCTCTCTAGCCCCTACAATGTCATTTTTAATGCCTAGAAATGTCTCATATTTATGCAAGTGCTATTCCCCACTCCACCCCTTTTCTATAACCTTACACCATCAACTGACTTGGAGAAAAAGGCCTATTAGATTTGGTCACTGAGTTCTCTCCCTTCCTACATGGAAGTCAGGAGAGTGTGGTGCCTGTAATTGCCTCCTGTCCTGAGCTGAGCTCAGCCCAGTGGGTGTGCTGTGGCAATGTCTACCTCGGATAGCTCATCTGCCTTCTTGTCTTATAGGAGACAGAGCACGTGGTGCCCAGCCAATCAGAGTGCCAGGGTAGAGTGGGAACACCAGCTCACGAGAGTCCCCAAAACAGCATCTTCAGGTGCCAGGAAACAGTGCTACTTCAACCAAGGTGAGTTCACCTTTCTTCGGAAGCTACACCTCAGCTCTATCTAGTTTGCTTCCTGGATTGTGCTAACCTGTATGCCTGCCACCTGTGTGTGGGTCAAGGATGCTGACTTCATTGATAGAATTGCTGCATTAAAAGGACACGCACAGGGCCTTCCTCATCTTGTGTTTGGAGATCCTAAGTCCTATGACTCAGGGAGAGCAGGGTTTGGTTGAACAGAAATGGCCTTCATAGACTTGTGTGTTTGTATGCTTGACCCATGAGGAGTGGCACTATTAGGAAGTGTGGCCTTGTTGGAGGAAGGGTGTCACTGTGAGTGCAGGCTCTGGTTTTGAGGTATTGTATACTCAAGCTACGCCCAGTGTGGAACCCAGTCTCCTCCCTGCTGCCTGTGAATCCAGATGTAGAACTCTGAGCGCCTTCTCCAGCACCACTGTCGGCCGGCATGCCCCCATGCTTTCCACCATGACGGTAATGGACTAAACCTCTGAAACTAAGCCAGCCCCAACAAAATGTTTTCTTTTATAAGAGTTGCCGTGGTCATGGTGTCTCTCCACAGCAATAGAAACCCTACCTAAGACAGTCTGCTTGTGGAGAAGAATTTGTTGTTGTTCTTTTTTTTTTTTTTTTTTCTTATGGCAGAGAATATTTAGGGCTCATTCGTGATCTCTGATGATCCTGACATGTGATGGATGTATTTTAATTCACGTCATGTCAGTTGATTTCACTGAGTTCTCACTTGGTTCTTTATGTGCTTCGAAAGCTGTCACTCATAAGATCCAATACACAGAGGGCATGTGGCTGAGAGACATTAAGGCACTTGCCTGGTCCCACAAAAAAACAAAAAACAAAAAAAAAAAAGCTGAGGTGAAATGTGCACCTACGGTGTGCTAGCATGGCAGGCCAGGTGCAGTCTCTGTGCTGCCCTAAGTGTTATTGTGTGACCTCAGTCCAGAAGCAGCCCGGGGCTGGCTTCTGACCCGCTAGACCTCCTGGAGACAACTCTGAATCCAGAGCCAGGGTATGGGTGGAAAAGTGCCTGTGGAAGGTTGGCATGGCGCTCTGACAGAAGCTTGGCATGGCAGCTGCCTACGGAAAGTCTCTTCTAGAAGTAAACAGAAGAAAGAGTTCAACAGCACATTGTACCAGCTGTCTTGTAGGGCCCTGTGCTTGGATCAGTATAGCCCTCACTCAGGGAACAGGGAAGGCTATGCTTCTGAGCATGACCTTTAGAATTTTGTTTTTGAAAGCTGTGCAGTCTGAGTCATCAAGTTAAGAGAACATGGCCTGTACTATGTTAACGGTGCTTTAGGATTCCCAACATACTAAATTTAGGAGCACAGAACCCCAAAGGGTGGGAGAGAGCCCTAAAGGTGGTCACCTCCTAGTGGAGTCGTGGGCAGCCAGCCGCTCAACTCTGTTGTGGTTAGAATTTCACCTCTTGGTTCCTACGTTTGGCCACTTGTTATCTTTAGGATGTGGAGCCTTGCTGAAGAAAGTGAGGCAGGCCCTGAGGTTTTCGGGCTTGTCTCCCACTTTCGGTCTGTGCTTTTTGACTGTGGCTGCAACATGCCTGGCAGTCTCAAGTTCCTGTCACCATGCCTTGCCCACCATGATGACCTTTGTCCCTTCAACAGTGATCCAAAGTAAGTCTCCCTGTTCCCTGCTGCTTCTTGCAGGAACATACTCTTCTTCCAGTCCTTGCCTACTTTATTGTTGCTTGACCTCGGGAGATCACAGTTGGACTCCATGTCATTTCCTCACTGATGAGGAATCTGTCCCTCCTTTTCAAGGCCTTATTGTAACAGACCTCTTTTCATCTAGGCTTGACTCTGCTGGGCAGTAACCAGCTCTCCCATCCTCCCACCCCAACAGCCTGACGAAGGCTGTTCTCAGCCAGAATAAGGTCAACCCGTTCCCATGCATATTTCAAAATAGTATGAAGCAAACAAAACCAGCCAATCCCAAAGCTAAATCATACATGCTTGCGTATGGAGCATGATGTGGTCCTTTGGGTGTGGACGTTTAGCAGAGGCTGACGGGGAAATGGTATCAGCAGCTAGTGATCTCCAGTTCAATAGACTGGGAACTGTTCTATGTCCTATTATGATTGGGATGAAAACTGAATATTTTACTGTGTTCAGAAAATGAATGAGATTGTACAGTAATCATTTGCATGTGACTAGCTCAGAAGTGAAAGTATGGACCTAGATGATTCCATCAGGGCACACATAGAGCAAGGGTTTTTAAATTATTGGGGGTTGGCGAGTTATACTTTCATCTGACTCTCAGAGATGATGGTTGGAAAAAAAATACACCTATGTACATACATACTCGTAAGGCTTTGGAAAGTTCACAGACTACCTCTAACTTCGAGAAAAACCAGACAGTGAGTCACTAGTGAGCTTTCCTTATTAAGTGAGACTGCTGCAGTCCTCAATAGGTCTGTCTCCTCTCCATTTAACAGCCTTCCATAGATCCCAAACACCAAGTCATCCATTCTTCCCTCTAGCCTCCATGCCCCACTTTGACCTCTTCACAGGGTCTAGCTTTCCGAACTGGTGGCATTCCAGAATATTCTGTGCACTGCACTGCTGTCAGCGACCACAGGGTTCTGTGCTAAGTCACACGTCAGGAGTGGTGTCATGCCAGTTAAGACTAGTCCTGTTGGGTTTCCTAGGTAGATTCAGCTGCTGACTTTCAGCTCTGGAGTCATTTTTCACACCCATGGTGGTGTCACCCAAGGACATTCTAATGGAACTTTTGAACACCTCAAAATATGGCAGGGATCGTGAAATGTGATGAACAGGTGAAATGAGCTTTGTGGCTAAACATATCTTTGAGTCAGATAGCTCACATCCCTAACAGTCCTTGTCTGCGTTAGCCCCACACATGGCTAGGCTCAGGCATAAGTGGGTAGAATTGTCATCATCATCGTCATCTCCTCCTCTTCTTCACCTTTAAAAGGTGATTTTTATTTTTAAAAGGTTTCCAACTTTTTAGTTACTAAACAAAAATAACTGAATGAGTTTCATTACGGCATTGTTATTCATATATATCATTGTAATAATTTGGTCATATTTTCTCCTCTACAATACCACCCCTGCCAACCTGCATTGTGCCATCCACATTGTCATAGCTCCTTCTAGTTGTGTGTGTATGTAAGCTAATCTTGATTATGCACTGAAAAAAAAAAAAAGTGATAGTTCGTCTTTCTCCCTAACATGTCATAGTTAGCCCTTGAAAAGGGAACCTCAGCTGAGGAATGGCTCCCATTGGAATTGCCTATGAGCATGTCTGTGGGGCATTTTCTTGCTTGCTAATTGAAGTGGGAGGGCCCATGGCGCTGTAGGCAATCCTTAGGCGGGTGGACCTAGGGTGTTTAAGAAAGGTAACTGAGCAAGCAGTGTTTAACCAAGGTCTCTGCTTCAGTTCCTGCCTCCAGGCTCCTGCTTTGAGTACCTGCCTTGGATTCCCTTGATGAGGAACTGTCATAGGAATGTGTCCGCCAAATAAAGAAGCCCTTTCCTCCCATATTGCTTTAGGTCATGGTTTTAACACAGTAACAAAAAGCAATAGGGCATCCAATATCCTCTCTTATTCTTCCTTTATGTTCCTTCCCCCCCCCAATAGTTCCTTCTACTTTAATGCCATATGCATGTGTGTGTTTGTGTGCATGTGTGTAGATGCTATGCATATGTATGTGATGGATATACATATATATTTGAATCTAGACTGTGTACGGCAGAAAACATGACAACTGTCTCAGTCTTGCTTATCTTGGTTGATGCGATCTATCATCCATCTACTGATGGGCATTTAGGCCAGTTCTTTTTCTTAGCTGTTGAAAACCAGTGCAGCAGTATTCATGGCTCTGCAAGTATCTCTCTGGTGTGCTGACCTTTTTTTTTTTTTTTTTTTAGTCCTTTGGGTATATTTCCAGGAGGGGTAGAGATGTTAGTTTTATTCTTTAGGTTAGTGAGAAGCCTCCACTCTGATTTCCAGAGTGGCCGCACTGGTTTACATTACTAGTGTGTGAGAGTTTTCTCTCTCCCCATGTCCTCATCAGTATTTGCTGTCACTTGTTTTGCTTTTATTTGCAGTGTGTGTGTGTGTGTGTGTGTGTGTGTGCATGTGTGTGCATGTGTATGTGTGTGAAGGTACTGAAGAGGCCTGAAGGTCCTGAAGACCGAAGAGAGGAGTCGAGTCCCTGGAGCTGGAATTAAAGGCAGTTGTGAACCGAGTCACTAGATGCTAGGTCCTATAGACATTGCATCCTCTGCAAGAGCATGCAAACACTGTTAACTGGTGAGCCAACTCTCCAGCCCAAGTCATTTGTTTTCTCAGTTGTAGCCATTCTGACTCGGGTGAGAGGAATCTCAGTGTAGTGTTCATTTGCATGTCCCTGCTGGCTAAGGGGGTTGGGCAGTTTCTCATACATTTACTGGCCATTTGTGTTCTTTTGAGAACTGCCTATTCAATGTATTTCCCCGATTATTATTGAAATGATTTTTTTTGTATTTAATTTTTTTGTATTTAATTTGATTCTTCATATATTCTAGATATTAATATTCTGTCATATGTATGGTTGGTAACAATTTTCTCTTATTCTTTAGGTTTTTTTTCTCTTTGGTGATTTTTCCCTTTGCTATACAGAAGCTTCTTAATTTCATGTACTTCCATAATTCAATTGTAATGGTTTCACAGGTTATCAGAGTCCTTTTCGGAAAGTCCTCACCTGGCCTTCTATCTTGAAGTGTTTTCCTGGATAGTTTCAGAATTGCATGTCCTACATTAAGATCTTTGATTTTGAATTATTTTTTTTCTATAGAGTAAGAAATAGGGTTTTGTTTTATTCCCTTCCACGTGGCTATCCAGTTTCCCCAGCAGCATATATTGAAGAAGTAGTATTTTCTCCAATGTATATTTTGACAGTGTTCTTGAAAAGTAGGTGACCATAGCTGAATAGGTTTATTTCTTCATCCTTTATTCTTATAATCTTA